AAAAAAAAATTACGCGAGCCGCGCAGCTGGCAGACGGCGGCGCCCTCTAAGTGCTCGCATTTTCTCGCGAGATTGTTTATGGTAATGGCGGCAGAATTTAAACAGAAAATTTATCAAAGCACAAATGTCGAGGTAGGGCCCCCCTATATGTACGTTAAGGAAGTTTTACTAGACCCTAGTAATATGCGTTTGCGAAATTTCTGTATGTTAATGTTATGTTCCCATATTATCATTGTACGTAATGCACTAGATCATTATTATTTATAGATACAATGGTCAATAATGTAACAAAACAAGAGTAGGTGTACAATTGAAATGTAACCCAACCCTAGGTAGGAGTTAGGGCCCAAGGATAGAGAACATGGGGTCCCNACTGCGATCCTTGAACCGGAGTTGGCCCTAGTACTAGTAGTAGTACACTAGTACTATAGCCTATAGGCTATAGACCGCTTACATTGACTGCCGCTGGCCGTCAATGTAAGCGGGCTATAGTACTAGAGCTAGGTAGGAGTCGGACTCTTGACTCTTGTTACAAGCGTCTAAACAGACTCCAGCTCCGACTGCCAGCGGCAGTTAATCAATGTAAGCGGGCTATGCCTATAGTACTGCTGAGAGGGTCTATGTCCCCCGGGGTACTGCCGGAACGTACCCTGGGTACGGTGGGGTATACCGGAACGTACCCTGGTACTATCTACTACGCAGTGGCTGGAGGTACGGTAGCCGTCGGTCGTTCAAGCCCCTTTTTTGCGTTAGGGTTAGGGTTAGGTTTATGGTTAGGGTTAGGTTTAGGGTTAGGGTTAGGGTTCTAGCTCATCTAAACTCTCAAATCGTGAATTTATTTCCCAAGGCGTTATTTCGAAATCTAGCGCCACCGCCGCCATCTTTGTCTCGTTAAGTATGAAAGCGAATGGACTCCCGTACCCATAGCCTCGAGACATTAAGATACGGTTACCGTACCCGTAGCCACTGCCTATCTAATATGCCGGACCGTACCTCGCCTACTCCACTAACGAGTCTAGGGAGTCGCCTATGCCTACTCCCTAACCCGAACCCTAATCCTAACCCTAATCCTAACCCTAACCATATCAAATAGTGACCAGGGTACGTTCCGGTATACCAGATCGTACCCAGGGTACGTTCCGGCAGTAACCGCTCATAGGGTCTATGTCCCCCATATAGTACTAGAGCTAGGTAGGAGTCGGACTCGACTCTTGTTACATGCGTCTAAACAGAAGAATTGCTCCGAGCTGTGATTGGAGGATAAAAATAGAATTTGTGACATTTCGTTTCACCGGTCATAGCCGCGCGTGTATTAATTAGCCAATGAGCAATACCGCGCGTGCATATTTGCTAATTAATTAGACTAATTAATCGTACTTCAAATTTTTCAATAGACTCAAAATTCACCGAGATTAAGGCTAAGACATGTGTCTATAAGAGCTAGAATTTATAGAAATGTGGTAACTCAAATCGTTCACTCCATATGATAGTTAGTACACGTTCCTACCGGTCATAGCATAATAGTAATACTAATAGCATATGTGGCGGGAGTGGGCGGGGTCTATTTTTATCCTCCAGTCACAGGTCGGAGCAATTCCTCTGTTTAGACACATGTATGCGTCTATGGTCTAAACAGAGGAATTGCTCCGACTTGTGATTGGAGGATAAAAATAGAATTCGTGCCGTTTCGTTCTCATTTTGGCATTTAGCCTAGATGACTCGAGTATGAGCGATACCGCACGTATATATAGTTGCTAAATAATTAAGCTAATAGCCCTTCATACAACTCGAGACTCACAGGGATCATAGCTAAGATTAGACCGAATAATTCTGTCCCATATAACCTTTTTTATATTTTGGTGAGGGTTATTGGTTTCCAATAACCTTCACCAAAATATAAAAAAGGTTGTATGGGACAGAATTATTCGGTCTAAGCTAAGACATGTGTCTAGAATAGCTAGAATTTATAGCAATGTAACTCAAATCGTTTGCGCCATATGATAGTTAGAACACTTTCCTACCGGTCATAGCATAATAGGCTAAATAGCGTATGCGGCGGGTAGTGTTGTCAATCGATTGTAATTTCGTAATCGATCATCGGTTGGACCCAAGTAACCGATGATCGGTTACAATCGGTTACTCGGGGTGTGGAATGCCTGCGTGTGCGTAACGTCGTGCGCATGCATGTGTGTGCATGTATGTGCTTGTTTAGCCCTGTTTACTGTTTGTTTTGCACTGTTTACTACTGTGTGTATAATACATGTATGTTAATAAAGGATAACTTGTATAGTAGCGATGATATCTCTGATTCTCATCACTTTTCCAAATTTTTTCTTGTTCAAGTTTAAAAAAAAAAAATCGATTATGGATTTTGATAACCAAGTGCTTGGTTCGAGCCACTGTTCAACCGATGATCGAGTATAATCGATGATCGTGACATCACTAAGCGCTTGGTTCGAGCCACTGTTCAACCGATGATCGAGTATAATCGATGATCGTGACATCACTAGCGGCGGGTATGCAAAATGGAGCATGACGTCACGAATTCTATTTTTATCCTCCAATGACAGGTCGGAGCAATTCCTCTGTTTAGACGCATGTGTCCCAAGTGGATAAAATTTGCCGATGAGGAAGACAATTTCTGTGGTCATCCCTATCTACGGACTTCAATCCCAGTCAGTTCTTGTACTGTGATAGCTCTACCGAATCAAGGATAGTTTGGGACGCCGTAAATGTGTTTTCGCATATATGTGCTAAACTAATCTGGGGTGCTAAACTAGGCTTGGGCCTAATTTAATTGGAAAATTGTTCTATAGGATATGCAATTGCACAACATGAGTATAGTCTGCTGCCAAGGTCTTGCCTAGTTGAGAATTTCTCCAGGCGGGTTCGGCATCATCATGGGTGATCTCTACGTGGAGGATGCTGTAGAATATTTCACGAATCGTAAGTAGGTCGAAGTGCTATCACACCGCAACAAACCTTGCGTGGTATGTGATTGTTTAGCAGTATTAAACTTGGTATAGCTTGGTTAGTTTTGAGGTTAGTAGTAGTTTTATAGTCTCATAGTCATAGATAATATTCTATTAGACTAGAGTTTATATAGCATGATAACAACTTCAATTCAATGGAAAAAGAATTATCGTTACAATATTAATGTAGCAGTATATTTTATTTTTGCATATTTCGTTTCCTGTTTGCAGCACATTCCCGCACAGCAACAAGAGGCAATGTTCCACTCAGCAATGCCCTGGCGGCCATTAATAAAGAAGCCAGTGCGAATGGTCTGTCTCCAGATAGCATAACGATTCTACTGGATGTGGCGGCCAGCTCCAGATTTTGTATGTCAGCCAATCATGTGCTCTTTGCTACAGGACTTACTGATTTATAGATCTAATTGCTAATTGTGATTCTCTTATTTTGCCAAGATGATGTGTTGCCGCGACGATTTGGTTCAAACGTGAAAAACTGTTGGCGAGTTTAGCAGCTTTTAATGATATGTATCATGTGCCGTGCTCTCTTCGCACCATGTCCTTCTCAGCTCTGTAGAAGATAGTCAAGATACATAGTTCTTGTCGAATTATTTCTGAGCAACCAAGCCTGCTAAATCGGATTGCCCTCTCGTGGTCAGGTGAATCTATCACCCCTGTATATATATTCCTGTGTAGAGACTCTGTATAGTCAGTGTACGTGAGTGTATGTCTAATCCGTTTATGTGTGCATGCGCGTGCAGTTGTGTATAGATCTGTTGTGCCAGCCAAAGACTCTGAGTTTGTGGTTTTGTCTAAAATTTCCCATTGTGTTGCCAGAGGACAGAGAAACTACCAATGATTAAAATTGCTTGTGTGTGTAATACGCCAATTTAGCACTTCGAAAAGCACAATGCTACTTTTTGACTACCAAGTATATTGCTTAAGTATGATAATAATTGTTATTTGAGCTTCATAGTACTTGCTTCGGCACGATTCAAGTTGTGCAAACCATTTATACATTTAAAAATCAATATCTCCCTCGTCTCTACTGCAGCCGACACCGTCAGCCAGAAGCTAGTGAAGTGTCTGATACCTAGGCACACCGTGAGTGAGGATGCGGTCGTCAGGGCGATATCGTGGCTGTGCACCAATATACCATCCTCCAATCTCCAGGTGAGATCACTGTATGTATGCATTCACCTGCTGCTCGTTATCCACACACGGGCAGTAGTTCACCTGTTGAATCAGCTGTTAGTCCATGGTCCAGGTGTGGATGATCCGTGTCCACTGTTCAACTGTTACTGATCAATCGTAATGTAAGATTTATATAAATAGTTGTATCTCCACTGTTTGTTATTTATTGGTCTGTTGTGATAGCAGATAAATTTCAACTGTATCTCAGCTGTAGGACATCTTAATGAACCAGCTATAATTCATGCATTATGATAATTCATTGTCAGATCATTTCTGTGATTGTTTCCATTTAGTTCTGTGTAACTGAACTTGCACTTTGTGCGTGTGTGCATTTGAGTGTGCAATGTGTGCGTGTGTGCATGTGAGTTTGCGATGTGTGTGTGTGTGTGTGTGTGTGTGTGTGTGTGTGTGTGCATGTGAGCGTGCAATGTGTGCGTGTGTACATGCAATGATGCGTACGAGCGTGTGAGTGCATGTGAGCTTGCAATGTGTGCATGTGTGCATGCAATGTTGCGTACGAGCGTGTGAGTGCATGTGAGCGTGCAATGTGTGCGTGTGTGCATGCATGTATGTGCACGTGCATGCATGTATGTGCACGTGCATGCATGTATGTGCACGTGCATGCATGTATGTGCACGTGCATGCATGTGTGTGTACGTGTATGCATGTGTGTTAGCTGAATGCATGTGTGCATGCATGCGTGTGTGCATGTGATCGTGCTTGCATGCAGTTTTTGCGTGTATGCATGCATGTGTGTGACTATGTGTATGTGAGCGTGCATGCAGTGCGTGCGTGTGTGTATGTGTGCGAGTGTACATGCGTGCATGTCCGCGTGCATGCATGTGTGTGTAGTACACACGTATACACTATACAGTGTTGCAACTGTCATCACGATCGTCTACAGGCATTAATTGTGCGATGGATCCTTCTCGTATATGACCTCATCGACAGCAAGGACAGACTGCACGCCCTCTATGGGCTCATATTCCACTTCATCGAAGATGACACTATGGTTAGTTAGTTTCTTCATGTCTACAACAGGAGATTAAGTCTAAAGCTAAATGTTTAACAAGTTTTCTAATAGCCACTGCATGAGAAATAAGCGTAATCCTTGAGAGAGGAAATTCACTTGTTATACCTTGGACCAAATGATCCTATATGAATCATTGCAGTGAATAATTTTGCTATGTTTGAACCCTCCAGACTGAGAATCAAGTAAAACAAACAAGAACACCATTCTTTTGGATGTTCGGGTTATATCTGATATGCTATGCTATGTTATGCTATGTTACAGAGCTGGAAACTTTACGACTAAGATTTACTTTAATCAAAACCCAAGGAATCTTTAGCTCATATAGAGTGGCATTGGACAAGTGTATGCATGAAGTGTAGAAAGGATTTGGAAGTAATGCAGCTTTATGTAAACAATAAACTGTCCAAGCCACTGCAAACCTATAAGAGCAGTCTTTCCGTTGGAAAACTAATTCAGTGATTGTATCGTCATCTGTGTTCACAGTGCCCATACATCTGCCACTTGCTCCACTTGCTGACGCGAAGAGAAGACGTTCGTTTATTTCGCATCCGTCGCCTTCTCAACCTGCAGAGTCGTGTCGTGAGTATTACCTTGTCCCCTGGTCAGCTGGTGGTGTGACCAACATGGTTCCACTAAGAGTATTAAATATACGTGTGGAAAACATACAGTGGGAGTGACTAATACAATAATATTTAGTGCTATGTGATTGCTACTAGATAGATCATGGCTGCTATGTGATAGATTGTGCCTGCTAAGTTATAGAGCATGGCTGCTGTGTGATCGATTGTGACTGTTACATCATAGATCATGGCTGCTGTGTTATAAATTGTGACTGCTACATCATAGATTATGGTTGCTGTGTAATAGATCGTGATTGTCATGTCATTGATCACGGCTACTGTGTGATAGATCGTGATGGTTATATCATAGATCGTGACTGCTATGTAATAGATCGTGACTCCTACCTATGGCTGCTATATGGATGTTTCAGGGAGTGCAGACTTACATCAGTGGCTTGCTATCCATATACAGGCTCTACTACCCAAACATTGTCTCTCTCGTGATGTCCGGACGCAGAAAGGTAAAAGAAATTGCAACAAATAATTCAATCGAGCATAACAAAATGCATTTCACATAATTCCATACATGATCATCGCAGATAGGGTTTTACCTGCAATATCTTTCATGCTATTCTTGTTTCATATGAAACCAATTGCAGCCCAATTATGTTTCATCCTATTGTTTTTTTATCCTAACATAGCAGCTGATATGTACATATCTTCATACGTTTATGATCCATTTTTTCTCATTGACTGTTGCTGCAATGTGTGCCATAGATTTCCATATTTCTCAGATAGTTAGATTTCTGAGATATGTGTAATAATTTTTAGCAGACTCAGAACTGTTCTCGTAAACAAATACTTCATAAACTGGAATTCAATAATGGTTACCCCCTGGTCCCATAGTTTCGCTCATAGGGTGTATGTCCCCCAGGGTACTGCCGGAACGTACCCCGGGTACGGTCCGGTATACCGGAACGTACCCTGGTAACTATCTAGCTGATAGGGTTAGGCAGTAGGCGTAGGCGATTCCCTAGACTCGTTAGTGGAGTAGGCGAGGTACGGTCCGGCATATTAGATAGTAGTATTTAGTACCAGGGTACGTTCCGGCAGTACCCTGGGGGACATAGACCCTATCAGCCATAGTTTCCCTATCCCCAGTAATCCAGCAACAAGTCGCTTTGCTATAGTGACGACGGTGGTATGGACCTAATTTTCCTGCTTTGCTCAGATCTTCTTCAAGAACACAGACACGGCGTGGGCGCAGGTCATACGTAAGGTTCAAGCCCGTGCCAATGCTGTACAGAGACCCATCACGGTTCAAGTTCCTAGCCTGGCTGTACGTGGAACCAAGCCTGTAAGCATTGTACCCCAGTTTCTCAGTCTCTCTCTCTCTCTCTCTCTCTCTCTCTTCTCTCTCTCTCTCTCTCTCTCTCTCTCTCACTCTCTCTCTCTCTCTCTCTCTCTGATCTCTCTTGTAGTTCTCTGTATCTCTTGCTTGCAGTCTGTCCATTATTTTGTATGATCAGCTATACCTGTACTCACCTGTGCATTACTGTTCTATCCATACCTGTTCTCACCAGGGCATTACTGTTCTATCCATACCTGTTCTCACCAGTGCATTCCTGTTCTATTAATACATGTTCTCACCAGTGCATTCCTATTCTATCCATACCTGTTCTCACCAGTGCATTCCTGTTCTATCCATACCTGTCCTCACCAGTGCATTCCTGTTCTATCCATACCTGTTCTCACCAGTCCATGACTGTGCTCTATTCATGGATACCTTTCACACCTGTGCATGGTTGATCCAAGTCGTGACTGAGCTAGTACATCTGCTCTAATTTGCGGCCACCTTACAGAGACACAAGCGAGCAAAGCTGCAGCTCGTGCCGTCACTGCAGTCAGCGGTTGACCAGACGGACGTCACCGTGCCGACCGACAGCATCCAGACAAGCATCAGCATCACGGCTGGAATGAAGCTGGAACAGATTCACACATTCGAAGATCTGCTCACTAATGTAGATAGACTTGAGGTGAGTGGCATCAGTAGTAATTTCATATAAATACATAATAATACTACATTATACATGCTATATATATAATGTTTACTTATATTATATAGATAATAATAATAAAATACATAAATAATAATTATATATATATATATATATATATATATACAGTGTTTCCCCTAGCCAATAAGGTCTGTGAGGTCGTAAATGTTTTTTGAGGTCCTAGCAAAGCGAGCAGCGCAGGTGCTGGCCAAGCAAGGGGGCCCCGGGGGCATGCTCCCTCGGGAAATGTTTGAAAAAATTGTGCAATTTGGTGCATTCTAAGCTATTCTGAACACATTATACGAGATTTTTGAATCTCTTTTTCAAGTTGTCAAAAGTTTCGTCAGCGAGGCGGTGTTTTGGACAAATTTCTGTGTGGCGGCTGAGAATTTGAGCGTGGCTGGCTGCCTCACTCGTGTCAATGCAGGGGAAACACTATATATATATATATATATACATCTGTAATACGTACTACATCTCAATTTGTGTTTCAGCTTCCAATGCAGGTGGCAGCACTGTTGCGGCATCCTCACCTGCAGCATCTGCTGCTGTGCTCGTCGGACAGGTTGTTAACAACTCGTCTCAGCTACTGGCTTCATCACACACTGCAAGAGGGTAGGCATCCTTGACCTTCTCCGCATACACGACCCCAAACGCGCACGTGCCCTTATCTAAAATGTGAACTTACAAAGCAAGGCTCCGAAAGTACGAATAACAGTCGCCATTTCTTTCTATTTCAACGACCTCTAGCATAGCCCATGAACTACATGTTCCGCTAATACGATCCAAATAATCATTGATGAACAAATGTTTTACGGGGGTTCTGAACAAAGCGACCGACAAGACATTTGTACGAACTGCATTCCCGAGTTGTTGAGCCCCAACTGTTAATAATGTGGCAGTGTGCTTTTATTGTGCTGCTGGCAGTCAAACGTGTTGCACATTGTGAGTTGTGACGTGTAGACGGTCAGACATGTAGTGGCAGAGAGCCGTGTTGTATTATGTGCTGGTTCTGACATGTTAAGTTGTGACAGCAATGATGTTGTGTTGTGTCGTTGCAGAGTTGATCCTCGGTAATGGAGAGAATGATGCTGTGAGAGAATTACTCGACATGGTCGTCACCTTCACCGACTTCATCCAGGTAGGGGGCGCCACAAAGCAACACCTGAACACATCGCCGTGGGTACCCCTCCTGCAAGCATTAGTTTGTGGCAGGGCTACCAGCACTACGGCCACAGTAAAAACACTTGTGTTATACAGTTGTGCTTCTACATGCTGATAGACTAGATAGCTTAACATTTCTAAGACTCATGGCATACATCATGTGACTCATGTGCAGTTGCTACAAATTCCAGTGTATCAAGATGAGACCCCGTTTTACTGCTTGTGGCATGACATATTATTGCTTCTGACATTACATGCCATTGCCTGTGTGCTGTTCTATGGCATATCCTGCTCTGCCGTAACATTGCCTTGTGTTATGAAATTATCTGGTGTTGCAGATGTCATGTTGTCCTATACCGTTTGCTGTTTCATGCCATGTCATGCTGTTCTATACCATGTCATAGCTGCTGTGTCCTATAACAGAATGATGTGACATAACATATTGTGCTGTTTTTACTACATTGTGCTGTGCTATAAAATGTCGTACTCTGCTATAACATGTCGTGTTGTGGTATACCATGCCGTGCTGTATTATAACATGCTCTATGCACGCTGCAGGAGGGTGTTCCGGTGCTTGATGACATCATCATCAGGTATCTGATGGTGTGGAATGGTCGCGACTACAGATCTCACGTCCTTCAGCTGATCACGAGAATGGGCATGATGCCCTTCTCAGGTACACTTCCTTACCTATAACTTACTACCATGTCAGTAGTATGCTCAAAGTATGTACAGTTCATTATTAACTGTAATTACTTGTAAATTACTGGCACAAGTAAAATTGCTTTATTACCTCTAACTACTGAGTAGTTAGTATGGGTATGTTATGAAAGTGTGAGTAGACAACAGTATGCTTATGTACAAAGGGACTGGGTGAGGACCTGGGAGGGGGTTGCATGCATTGCTGTCAATTAGGTGTGACATAAGCGGCCACAATACACTCGCGGTGAGTGTGACTGTTAGGGTTAGGATGATCGAAGAAAGAATAGGCAGCTGAGGCTGACAGCATGCAAGCATTCGCATCTTTCAGCAACTGACATGCTGCACGTGTCATCTTTGTTACAGACCTGCGTGAGTGCATCCTCGAGCCGCTGCGTCAGATATACTGCTCCTCCTCCGTCTACGTCAAGTGTCAGGTGCTCTACTGCCTCCTACAGTTGCTCACAAACTACAGCGCCCTCGAGTGGGTAACACCAGACCCAAACTCCAACACACTACCGCTGCCAAACACGTAAGTTACTGCTGCTTATGCTAGCCGCACACTATCCGATTTTGCACTGTGCACAGCACTAAGCCCCCGCACACTATACGACCCGCTCCCGATCGATCGGGAGGCCACCGCACACTGTCCGACTCAAAGTTGACGCAAACCATGGCACTCTCGTGGCGTTCCAAGCGGATTTAGCGTGTACTAAGGGTCGGGAGTGTTTCCCATGGTTCGAATGTCATTCCATTCGAATGCGGTTCCCATGGCACTGCTCTGTGATTGGTCAATTTTCTTCAGCGCTCGCCGATTGGGTCGGATGGCCACGCACACTATCCGAGTCGCGTCGTAAGCCCTCGCACACTATACGACCCGCTCCACTCCCGATTCAAAATTCGAATCGTGCCAAAATGACCTCCCGAGCCAAACTTAAGCCTCCCGAGCCAAACTTAAGTTTCCCGATCCAATCGTAAGCCTCCCGATCGCGCTTGGGTCGGATAGTGTGCGGCTAGCATTACTCGCCTATTTCCATGGTAATAGCAAGATGGATGCTTTGCCGCATTGGAGTTTTCCATGATGATTCGGCTATCTGAAAGTATGTTATGCTTGATATGTGTTTAATATGATTACGTAAATAATTGGCACACTGGAGTACAGTACTAGTACTACCATACTGCAAATACTGGATCATTCTAGGGCAATGGTCACTGCTTGTGCAGTCACCTATCAAGGCATAGGTTGTATCAAGTTAGTCCTCATCTTCATTCTGGGTTGTCTAACTGTATGAGGAAACTAAGGGTTTCAACTGAGTGACAGTTGAGATAAATCATAGTAAGGCTGAGTGTGACCTGACCTAAGTGAGAGTTGCACGAGAGTGGCGTCTGGGTAGAGTTTAGCGAGAGACGTGAGCATTCAGCAGCCATCTCGACGTTGCAGGACCAGCGTGTTCAGTCCGAAGGCGGACACACAGGCCTTGGCGCTCACCACCATACAGGAGTTGATAGCTTACATTGACAAGCTGTGTGTGCTGGGTCTCACGCAGGAACGAGATCATGCGTTCCTCATGCACTACACTCTCTCCTACATGGAGCTGGTGAGTGTGATCGTGTGCTCAACAGGAGGCAGCAATTGCAGTGTCGAGCACCCACAATAGGTGGATGGATGAAGCTTGCAGCTTCCCTGACCGTCATCGCTCTCTCTCTCTCTCTCTCTCTCTCTCTCTCTCTCTCTCTCTCTCTCTCTCGCACTCTCTCTCTGTGTGTGTGGCTGGGTGCGTGCGTACGTGCGTGCATGTGTGTGTGCGTGCGTGCGTGCGTGTGTGCAGGGCGCAAAATTAGCACCGGCCCACCGGCATATGCTGGCAAATTATTTGCAGGGCCGGTAACATTGGCAAAACACCGGCTCTCCGAGCCGGTGGTTTCAGCCATGTTAGTGAGTATCTACATTTTTATTTATAGCATTAATGAGCAAATAGCCTACAATACTGTGTTACCTGAAGGATATCACGCCATAATTTATCAACATTTTACAAATTTGAAATCGAATATGCAAGCGTGAAACATGACATTGACAAAAACAGTTCGGACATCATTCACTATGTGCATTGTAGTCTGTTCAATAGATACTACGTAATGCTGCACACTACAACATTTTTTGGACAAGCAAGAGTCAGTGAAACAGTTTCATCTTTATTTTTGAAAAAAACAAGTTGTGAGGGCTGGTAAATTATGGTGAGGGCTGGTAAAAATAAGCTGTTGCCAGCCCTTTGGGCCGGTGCAAAAAAATCTGAATTTCATGCCCTGTGTGTGTGTGTGCGTGCGTGCGTTTGCGTGAGTGTGCGTGCGATGTGTGTGTGTCTGTATCTGTCTGTCTCTCTGTCTCTGTCTGTCTGTCTGTCTCTCTCTCTCTGTCTGTCTGTCTGTCTCTCTCTCTCGGTCTCTCTATCTGTCTGTCTCTCTCCCCTCTCTCTCTCTTACACATATCATATGCACTGTCTCTCTTATATCGGTCGCTCTTGCTAATTACACTCACTCGCTCTCCGTAGGCATCGACTTTGGGCCAGCGATTCGGAGTTCCGCTCCAGCAGGTAGTGTCAGCGTTCCTCATCTACCGCTGCGTGTTTGCGCTGCACGCGATGGCGGTGTCGCGTGTCTGCGGGGTCATCTGTGACTACTGTGAGCAGTACCGCATGATGGCGAAGAAGGCCGGCGACGCAGGGAAGCAGGAGGGGTGGGACTTCATCGTGAACACGCTCAACGGCTACACGCTGGACATCTGTGACACGCTGTGGCGGTCCAAGGCCTTCAGCTTCCACCTAAACCCGAAAAGAAGGTAGGTGGAGAGTGGAGGAGGAAGGTAGGTGGAGAGTGGAGGAGGAAGGTAATGGAAAAAGCCGTTGTGGGAGGTGATGGCCAGGGAGTGGAGGAGGGAGGTAGTGGAAGGAGGGATGGTGGGAGGTGCTGGTCGGAGAGTGGAGGAGGGATGGTGGGAGGTGATGGCCGGTGAGTGGAGGAGGAAGGTAGTGAAGGGATGGTGGGGGTGTGCTTTGGATTTGGGGGGATCATTACAAAATCTTATCTGAACCCTTTGATCCAAATTGACGAAATATAACGAAGCACTAACTTAATTCAAAACTCACTTTAAAACTTTAGAGATATAAAAGGATAACTTGGATAAAAGATAATTTAGAGACATAAATGGAAGTACAGAGATCTATTGCCATCCACGACGTAAGACATAGGTACAACATTAGATCCATCTAAAAAGGCAGGAGTGATCTGTGCCAGGTCTGCTAATCGTAACGTTCTACATCACAGCACAATGATCTACCATCTGACTAGTGCGGACGCGGTGGCACGCACCCGGGTGGCAAACTTCCACACCGCCTTCTCTCTGCTGCAGCATCCTGCTCTGATGGGCTTCACACAAAGCTTTCTGAAGCAGGTAAGAACTCAATTGCTTTGTATGTATTAACCTGGGTACAGCTGTGTATGATAGATGAAGACTAGATAAACATACGACGTAATGTTATCTGTTTGTGATTATACCGATGTTTATAGTAAAAAATAACGTAGAAATGTAGTTTAAAGTGATGTTTATGTCTATAGCTTCAATAAATATACACGAGGAATAGTTCACGGTGTGCAGGCAGTGGTTTATGACTCTGCTGACTTTCTATGGTTGTTCTCGTCTGCATGCGTGCGTTGTTCAACGTGCCTCTTGTTTTCACATACAGCAACCCGACGAGGATCGGTCCCTCGGGCACGCGCACAAACATCGAGGCAAGCTGCTCACGCATTTACAGGAGCGCCACCTGCAGGGAGTTGATCGATTTATCCATACCTTCATCAGGAGCAAAGACTGAAGAGCAACCTCCTCTAGACTCACTCGCACCACGCCTACTGCATTGCTTACTTGCTTATATATACCTCGTTTGCTTGACCAGTTATATGTATAATTAGCGGTAAAACCTCGTGTGAGAAAGTGATGGGATGGAATGCTGGGCCTGCTCTTTGGTCAATGAGATTTGCGTTTGGGGGATTTACAAATCGTTTCGGACAGAGGGAGCGTAACTGAATGGCACTGGGATGGTGAGGTTGTGCCACTGGTCATATCTGTAACCTTTTGTATATATATACCATTAGATCTAGCAAACTACAGATTAGAGAAGTCACGTGTGTGTTGCTGGTGCGACTTGTGTGGCTTTATATCATGTTGGTGTTCCTTATGGGACCTGTTTGTAACAAGCACCGACATTCACTGGAACTATTGTCTATAAGAGTCTCATTCGCTTGTTATTGGACGCAATGTGCTAGTAGCCAGTTGTAAATGTTCTTTTCTCATGTATGTACGTATGTATTATATCACTTTCTTTTTTGCGGTTATTAGTTTTAGTTCCGCAAACAATCCTGTCAAATGTTTTACCAATATGAAGAGTGACAGATCATTGGAAAATTAGAACATTTTGTGAAAAATCAACAGATTATATTCCAAGATGAAAATTTCTGCTGCCACAATGAAATGCAGCATGTGTGTACAGTGCCATTGTAGAGAAAATAAAATATATATTCTATGAATTAAATGCAAAATTGGTGTTGGAATATTCACTTCTTATTAAGAAATTGCTGAAACATACACGCCCACAAACACACATATGTACATATTTACACATACACATATGCAGCACTACTGCCATGATACTCATCACAGCAGTGACAATATACACAGGTGGTGATAGTATTACAGCGTTATAAAACCACTCGGGTAACCTAACATAATCTACAAGCTTGCATGCCTCCGCAAGCAATCGTGAAACGATGCGTGACGTCACGATATGAACCACAGCCGGAGTGAGTTGTCAGCAGTGATGCCATCATCGGTGTCATCCGTGTCCTCGCTGGAGTCGCTCGTCCAAGCTCTGGCAGGCGATGGGAATAACCGCTGGCCAGAGGCAGAGGCCAGCAGCGGCAGTGACGGGTGAATGCTGCCAAGGTCAAAGGTCAGAGTTCAATCAGGAGGTCAGTCGGATGAGACATTTCAGATTCGTGAACGAAACGGCTAACTGTATGACTCCTTATATATTATCTAGAGTCCCTATATACAGAGAGTTGCGCCATGACGAGTCGGAAAAAATCGGTCACGTGATCGCTGGAGATATAGAGAGGGATATAGATAGAGATAAATAGTTAACAACGCGGGCCCCGGTGGAAATTCCATCCCCGTGAAATTTCCATACTCGCAATTTACAAGGTTATGCAAATAATTGCCTCTCGTCTGGAAATCGCATGACGTAGAAAGCTAATTGCATTGCAGGCTGTTCACATTAAACGCAAAACAAGTGAAGTATCAATTAGCGAACAAGTGTATGTGTGTGTGTGTGTGTGTGTATGTGTTGTTGTTGCGTATGTGGTGTGTTGTGTGTGTGTGATGTGTGTGTGTGTGGTGTGTGTGTGTGTTGGTGTCGTGGTGTGTGTATGTTGTGTGTTTCGCGTCGCGGTCGTGTGCGTGCGTGTTGTGTGGTTTTTTATTTTTCTCGGGTCTTTTTTCGTTGCTGCTGCTCTGCTTGCCGTAGTTGTATTAACGGCTGCTAGTTTGGTTCGATATTACGCTAATAATATCTGCTGGGCAAGGGGATATGTATTGTTCGACGCTTATCTCTTACGTCATCAAGTGAGATCGGTGTAAAATCTTCTGCGTTGTTTCGGTGTAGCACATTGGCGTGTATCGGATTCACGATGTGCTGATGTGTGTGCGTGTGTGTGCGCTGTGTGAGTGCGTGGCGTATAGGCGTGCGTGCGTTACGTGCATGCGTGTGTGTTTGGCGTAGATTTGCGGAGCGCATACTTAAAGCCGTGTTTACTGATTGTTTAGTTGTGAGACACATTAGGGCGGAGCGGTTACTCGATTTGTGTGCGCCCGCATCTAGTGGCTTGGCATCTTTCATGACAGCGAGCAGAGGAGTCCGACGGATTTCAAAGCAACGAGAGAACGTTGTGGCGTGAGCTGTCTCCACAACTCCGCGCACGTCATCACGCCATTAACCTTGCACCGACCGCACCCTCGTCACCAAACCCCAGCCACCACTCGCAACGAGCCTCCAACGCTAACTAACTACCAGGTCACACCACCCCCACTCCCCAGCTAGCGCATTCCAACTACCAACCCGCCTAGCTTACCATATTCGCCCAGCTAACCATCCCCCCTAGCCACCACCTACCCGCAGGACCACACCCCTTACCTCAGCCACCAATCCTTCTATCCCCAACCCACCACCGCCACCCAAGCCCCCACTACCCCCGCTACCCAACCACCACCCACCCCAACGTCACCAGCCGCTACCCCCAGCCATCCATCCCCTTAACCCATACCAACCACCTCTACCTCCCCTTACCCCCCCCTAACCATATCCACTCTACTCCTTTGACTCAACTCATCCACCCTACCCACAACCAGCCACCTCCTACCCCAACCACGAACCCACTTACCCCAATTACCACCCCTCGACCCAACCACCACCCTACCCCAACCACAGCACCCTTACCCCCCGCCCCGCCTACCCCAACCACCACCCTACCCACCGATATGGTCATAAATCCCCTGGCGGGGACTATTCCAAGGTACGCCATATAAATTCCCCGCCGCTTCGGGAAATTTTACGTCTGTGTAAATGCCGCGTTAAATCCCCCGGCATTGATCCCCGTTAATTCTGCCGCCACTCCGTCGCCGAGGGAGTCGGGGGTGGAGGTGTCAATTGACTAGTGCTATTAGGGTGACTCGGTCTTGTTCAAAGCCTTGCCCGCAACGTCGTAATTCTCAATCGGATCAGCATTATGCAATTTTTTTCCCACTCGTGCGAAAAATTCTTTTCCGCTGCGCTGCTGTTAAGCGCGGGGCAGCGAAAGATTAGCATTTTTACGCGGGTGGAAAAAAATTATCCCTAAAAATTATTTAAGGCTGCTCGCGTCGATGGCGTCAGCCAGGGCTGGCCAATGTGCCGCATGCCGCACACTTCGTCGGGCTCGACACTGACCACAAGCACCTGGTATATAATCGACCGGAAAGTCTATCAGACAAGAAAGTCCAATCCGCGGGGAGGGGTGGTATATAATGGCTATTATAGAAGAGGGTTTCGTTTCTAGCGAGCGCTAACGAACTCTGAAAGAAATTCTTAAAGATCTGAGATAAATAACGAGAGATCGAAAGAGAGGAGAGAGAGAGAGAGAAGAGAAGAGAGAGAGAGAGCGAAGAGAAGAGAGAGAGAGAAAGAGAAAGACGAGAGAGAGGGAGAGGGAAGAGCAGAGAGAGAGAGAGAGGAGAGAGACGAGAGAGAGTGAGAGTGAGAGTGAGAGTGAGAGTGAGAATGAGAGTGAGAGTAGAGTAAGGTGAGAGAGAGAAGAGAGAGAGAGAGAGAGAAAGAGAGAGAGAGAGAAGAGAGAGAGAG